CCCCAAAACCCCAAAACCCCAAAACCCCAACAAAGCTCCTAGCCCTGATTCTTATATAATTTAAAGTCATGGAAATGAATAGCCCAATATTATCCGCTGCACCTAAGGAAGTAAAGTAAGTGTGGAGGCCAGAAATATATCACCAGGGGTTAAAACCCAGCTAAACAATCAATTTTACATTCCCAGGCTCGCCCTTATCTGATAGGAATTTCAGCATGATGGCATTCGAATTAGAACATAGGAATAATTTCCTAGGTTCTGTTTTAAATATTTTATAATTTCCCTCGTATTAACGTCACTGGCAGAGAAAAGAAGAGGAAAATGAATAAATCCTTCAGAAAAACTACGAAGAAGAGAAAGCCTTCGGATCCTCCGGTCAGCTTTGAACAGCACGTTGAGAGCCACTTTAAAGTGTGCAGAAATAAGGCCCACAAGGAGGCTATGAATGCATATCAAAAATTTCTGATTAAAAGCAAAGATGATGAGCCAACCAGAAAAGTCAAAACTATGAAAAAACCGAAGGTATGGATAGTCTTTTGGCAAATTTCGTACAATTTGACCTATATTTTTAATTATAGATTAAGTTCAATATGCAGAAAGATATAAGGAGTATGAGCACTCTCCAAAACAGTGAGAGTTGTAGTAGCACTGCAGTTACCTCAAAGCCAAACCAGGAAGGGTATGCCGCTTAATATTCACTTTCCAATACCATCTTATAGGCCTACCGTGCAGAGTAACGAATCAAAATTAACATCCAAACGAATGTCTTACTCTCCATTCACCAAGAGAGCTACTAGCCCAAAAATCACCAAACCGTCTATAGTAAGGAAAATAAATTTTATTTCTAGAAAAGAAGTAGAAGGAAGCAGAACAGGAATGAGTACATAACAGAGTTGCCCAAAAACGACGCAGTGAACCAAACTTTCCATAATAAAGAGTTAACGACCTCCTTGGACTCATTCAAGAGTTTCAATGTAAGTTTCGACTGTCTTAACATTTTCAGACAATTGCCGACCAAATCAGCATAAAGCCTAACAAGTATGAGAAGTTTAAAATGGCGCTTGCAATGAACAGACCTTATTGCCAAAAGCAGCACAAGAAGCCATGTCACAAGATGCTTGCACAGAAGGATCTTCCCCAATTTGAGAACTCGGTAGTAATGTAAACACTTTATTTGAAATTTTGATGAATCCTTTATTTCCATTCAGTCAATTGATCCTTTATAGTCAAGATAAGAATGCTCTCGTTGCTGACACGATAGAAGTTCCTAACAACAAGTACAAAATATGCAAACCTAAATAAATTAGTAAAGAAGAGGCATGAAAATCTTTACGACCCTACTATGTCTAAATAAAGTCATCATGAATTTGTATAAAGCACGAAATAATAAAAGCATGTGAACAATCTCTGGGAGAAATGACTCTTTCCAGAATTGACATGCATCTACGCTATTTCAGAAGGTAACAAGCCAGATATCTAAGTCTTTCCAAGAAATAGAACCACAAAAGACATCAAGAGTGAAACTTGGAAATGTAAGTTTTTATCTACAAGCATTTTAGAGTATCGACCATGGTGAGACAACAGTTCCTCCGAAGGGCATGGGCACATGTCCTTCTAAGAAGTTGTCCTGTGACGGGGCTACAAAGACATCCCAAAAAATGCAGGTATACAAACGATTTAACCTTTAGGATAAATGAAAGCTTCTTGATAAGGATATATCTCAGCTGAACCAAGAGATTATAGCCAAGAAGCAGTCCTTGGTTTCGCTCAAGGAATCTTTCTGGCTCTGATCTGCTGAAAATAAGGTTCTATCTGAAGTAATAACCTCATTACTAGTACAACTTGCTAATTAATTTACATCAATAATTCTAAGCAAAACAGGGGTTTTGGGGTTTTGGGGTTTTGGGGTTTTGGGG